ACCAGATTGTTTTCACAATCAATAGGCCTCATCTGCTTTTAGAGATTGATGTTTGCTAAACATTTCAAGTTTATATCATTTTTCAGTTAGGATTTTTTTTTATATTTTAACCCCCCTTAATTCCCCCATATATTCATATTTTTTTCAGTATCAATAGGCTTTAACTTCTTATAAAGCTTAATTTTTACTAAAAATTTCATGTTGATATCACTTTTCGTTTTTAATTAGAGTAGAAAAAAAATGTATGAGGTAAAATAAACAATTTAAAAAGGTCAACAATAATATTCAACTTCTTTTATCAAAGGATACTAAAAGTTTGAAATAGCAGCACATAATTGAACACAGAACACAGAAATCTGTGAACTAAACTAGTGAGATGCATATCGTAAAATGTTATCACACTTAATTCTCCATATGACACTTTCTAAGTGTATTTCACAGAACATTCCAAAGTATTCTTGCTTTCACTAATGTCCTACCCTCATGGCTGCTTTTGCATGTCCAAGTTTACTAAAAAATAATGTGTTTTAATAAATAATAGAATAATAACAATTTTGTTTAAATAGGTAAATCGGCTTCATCTGTATTTTTAAATTATTAAGTATAATGGGTTAAGAAAAGGTCCTTTATTTCTCCGGTCGCCAATTAAAATTGATGTGTGAGAAATAAAGGACCTTTTCTTAACCCCTTATACTTAATCCCTACTACTCACATATGGCTACCCTCACTCCAAATTTTAAATTATTGTTTAATTATAGATAGTATATTAATGTTTTGATATGTACTTATAGGATTGATTAGCCAGAGCATGTAGATGTGGGATGTGACTTGTTAAATGCCTAATCAAAATCACAATTTACGTTTGATACTTATTTCGAGACATTCTTTAGTACCAACTGTAAACTACTTTACCAATACCCTTATTTTTATTTATTACCTGTAGTGATTCTAATTACCAAAACATTTAATATTTTTGAAAATACTAAATTATACAAACAAGGCAATAAAAAAATATCATTAAAATAAAATATTTCTTGTTTGTATGTAACAAACGACCTTGGTTAGAGGGTAACACGATTGATAATTGTAAACATAACTTTATATAGGTAAACTATTTAAATGTACATACCATTTCTTAGGTAAAATTTCTCATCGAGTATATTAAATTAATTGGCTGATCCATTCTTCTGATTTAGACTTTTAAAGTGAAAACCATTTGTCTCTTTATCTTAATCAAATTTTTATAGTACATTTCCATAATGATGTCAAATAGTTACCTCATCAGAATAATTAAATTTTTCCTTTTAGCAGATTTTGTGGGAAAAAATTTACAGATTTTTTTGTTTACTTCTTACTTCATAGTATTTACAATTGTGTACAAAATAGACCATTTTGAAGTTGTCTTTGGATGGTCTAGATACTGAAACAAAATATAAAACAAATTATAGTCGTAAAACTTTATTACTGCTTTATTATAAAGTAAATAAACAAAATATAACCTTAAAATATTTTATTTATTTACCTTGCCTTAAAAGTTTTTCTTGAACAATAATTACATTGACACACATCCTTCCAATTTATTAAAGTTGCAGTTCTCAATTAAACACATTTTTTTAAACGATCACAAATAAAATAATCTTAATTTTATTAAAATCGATGGAATGACAGTATTGACATTGACAGTTTGTACTTTGATTTGGTACATAGTTGCCAGAATGTTTTTGTTATGTACCAGATTTGTCTAAAAAATGTACCAGATTCCTTAAATGTACCAGATTTTTCGAATTCTATTTGCAGTGACATCTAAATTCATTGAAGAGGAAAAAAGGGGATCTTTATTGATAACGAATCCAAACAAGGAACACAATATATACATATATTTTACACGTGAACACTGATGCATGTAGAATGTACTACATCTAGTACAATTGTGAATTGTACTAGACTGGCAACACTGGTTTGGCAAACTTGTTTGTGAGCGACGCGCCAATTAATTTGTTCTTTGACAGTTTGAAGGATCTGTTGGCGTGTTTTCATCTCTTTTTAGCTATATGTATTCGTCAAATCGTCTCACTCGTGTTAGGCTCACTCATCATAATGCGCCACAGACAAGGTTTACTTAGGTATATTGTGCCACAGAGACGCGATCAGCCAGAAAGCAATGATGTACCAAAAAATATAGATTAACACGTATGAAAATAAAATATTAAAATTAAATTTATATTTTTATGTTATTTATGTAATTTTAAAATAATGTGTCTTTATGAAATTGAACTGGGTGTTCACTGCACAAATGAACCAATGGAGAAACCGCCCCTGGCAGTGACCAATGTAGTGGTGTAGATGGTGTTGTTTCATGGTTTGATAATAAAATTGTTTACACCATGTCAACATATGTTAGGAGTCAGCCTGTATCGATAGTAAACAGATTCTGCAGGAAATCTAGAACACATATAGAAATCATCCGCCCTCAATGTGTTGCGGTATATAATGCTTACATGGGGGGAGTAGATCTTCTCGATTCTATGTTAGGATACTACCGAATCCAAATTCAATCTAAAAAGTGGTACATGAGTATTCTCCAGATGCTTCGACTATGCCCAAAATTTAATTAGCTCACCGCAGGATGGATTAAAGTACAAAAAAAGCAAAAGAGACTCGGGAAAGCTCTCTCTATACTACCAGAATGTTGTAATTATCCAAAATTTGTCGTAATATCTCAAATTGATATGTTATTTTCACTAATACTTGGTTATTATTTTCTGATAGTGTGGATGCTGAACTAGCTACAGACAAGATCGCACATCTTAGTGGAGTACATTGAGCGTAGAATAAGTTCTCTGGAGTGCCATAAATATTTTTTTCTACGATCACTATGCAAACTAGGCTTTTGCGCTTCGAAATCCAAACGTAAAGTTGACGTTTTCCGCGAACTGACATTAAGCGACAAAGTTGACAGCTTTGTTGCACGCCTAATTTAAATTAGGTATAGTATATTAATTTTTTTTTTAATAAATAATTTTTAAGTTATTTGTACGTAGTTACATGTTTTTTGTTATATTACTTCCTAGTTAATATGGACTTCAAATATCAACTGCTTTTTTCATTATTAATGTAGGTATATGCAACACATTATACACTACTTACGAAACATTTTTAGTTTGTGGACTAGATCTTTCGCAGGGAGAAAGGGTGACGTAATCACCGTCAATTGATTCTATAAATGCCAGAGACGGCGTTAGAAGTAAAAAAGTAAAGAGCAAAAAATGGTGAAACGAACAAATGGCTTGTGCAAAAATGTTGAAGTATTTCAACACTAATGTAATTTGTAAGTACTTTAATAATTTATTTTAACTTAAATAGGCTTACCTGTAAATATACAAATAAACAAGTATATTTTTGCTTTGTTGTACAAAGTTCGCAATTTGCAGGTAAATTTCTAAATCCATTCATTCTAAATTGTACTTACTTTAAATATTTGTTGTTTTCAATTTTGCATGAGCATTAATTCACAAAAAAATTGACAGCCATCGTTATTGACGATTACATCGTTGCGCCTCTTTGTAAATATTGAATGTTTTCGAATGTTTCAACATCGTCACGCGAAGCCTTGCAAAAACTGCTCAATTAATCATTTCGTGCAGTTGTTTTATCGGGAACGTGTTTCGGGCAATAATCAAGTGGTGACACCGAGAGATAATCAATAAACACATCAATCATCGACCTATCAAAATCCCTCTCTCGAGTCTGGCTTTCTATATTCCTTATGCATTATTGAAAAGTCGAATTGATTTCAAAGTTGTTGTGGTGTCAGGCTGGATTGTAGTAATAACGATGTAAGCATTGAAGCCGAACGAGCATGTTCAAGTTGTAAAATTGCTAGTTTTATTTCTCTTAAAAGTTTAAAATACTAGGTATATCCTAAGTTTAGATTTTTCACAAATCAAGTAGGTTTCTAAAATACTTTTGGATAATTAAATTTGAGAACAACATTTTTTTCAACATTGATTTATTTATTTATATATGTACATACAACCAGCAGGCCAATGCCCAATTACAGGTGTACATAATAGAATAAAAACAAAATATAAATGTACCAATAGAATAATGTTGAAAAAATAAATTAGAATAATATAATAAGTAATTAAGGAAAGCAAAATGGTAATAGTAATTTACGTTACAAGACCGTAAAGTAGTGTTTTGCAGGTCGAGACAAGCAAATTCCAGGGCGAGCAGTAGGGGAGACCAGGAAGCTTGGCGAGACCTGCTTAACACTAATTTTCGGTCGCGTGACGTACAATATTTTATTCAAGACCGACACTTCGATATAAACTAAATTATTTATTTTATTTAATGATGTAATTAAGAAATACTAATACTAGATAATGGATACAACTGCATAAACTAACCAACTACATTATTTTTGAATATTTATGTTAAATGTACATTTTGCTGCTTTCTATGTCAGATAATTCAAAATCTGAATCAATATTTTTAAATTTGCGAAAACATGTTTGACATAAACAACAAACTAAAAATCAAAGAACTATCACTTGGCAATAAATCAAAACGTTGTTACCATAGTAATGAAATCAAGACAGACTATATTAACAAACAGCGATCGGAAATATTAAAAGGAGGGACCGGTAAAGATTTTACCGGTTCCTAACGTCTACTTTCCGGTCTTGATCGACAAAACGTTGCTTTCTGGATGAAAAATTGTTCAGAAAGTTCTGGTGGGTCTTAAAAAAGATCATCAAACTGCAAGATAAATTTAAAATCAAATAGTTTAATTTCCTATCCACTAGATAGATATCAAATTCGACATTTGTCACTTAAATTGTCAGTAAGAGAGAAAATATATCCACAAAAGTTACTTGATTGTATTTGGAGTTGATATTGAATGTAATATTAAAACATGAAATAGCTGGAAGAAAGGGGAAAGCTGGCCGTTTACTTACTTGTGTATAAATAGCAAGAGAAAAGGGTAAAGGTTAAAGGAGGACGGGAAAGGAGAAAGGGGAAAGGGGAAAGGGGATAGGGGATAGGGGAAAGGGGAAAGGGGAAAGGGGGAAAGGGGAAAGGGGAAAGGGGAAAGGGGAAAGGGGAAAGGGGAAAGGGGAAAGGGGAAAGGGGAAAGGGGAAAGGGGAAAGGGGAAAGGGGAAAGGGGAAAGGGGAAAGGGGAAAGGGGAAAGGGGAAAGGGGAAAGGGGAAAGGGGGAAAGGGGAAAGGGAAAAGGGGAAAGGGGAAAGGGGAAAGGGGAAAGGGGAAAGGGGAAAGGGGAAAGGGGAAAGGGGAAAGGGGAAAGGGGAAAGGGGAAAGGGGAAAGGGGAAAGGGGAAAGGGGAAAGGGGAAAGGGGAAAGGGGAAAGGGGAAAGGGGAAAGGGGAAAGGGGAAAGGGGGAAAGGGGAAAGGGGAAAGGGGAAAGGGGAAAGGGGAAAGGGGAAAGGGGAAAGGGGAAATGGGAAAGGGGAAAGGGGAAAGGGGAAAGGGGAAAGGGGAAAGGGGAAAGGGGAAAGGGGAAAGGGGAAAGGGGAAAGGGGAAAGGGGAAAGGGGAAAGGGGAAACGGCAAAGAGGAAACGGGAAAGAGGAAAGGGAAAAGGGGAAAATGGAAAGGGGAAAGGGGAAAGGGGAAAGGGGAAAGGGGAAAGGGGAAAGGGGAAAGGGGAAAGGGGAAAGGGGAAAGGGAAAAGGGGAAAGGGGAAAGGGGAAAGGGGAAAGGGGAAAGGGGAAAGGGGAAAGGGGAAAGGGGAAAGGGGAAAGGGGAAAGGGGAAAGGGGAAAGGGGAAAGGGGAAAGGGGAAAGGGGAAAGGGGAAAGGGGAAAGGGGAAAGGGGAAAGGGGAAAGGGGAAAGGGGAAAGGGGAAAGGGGAAAGGGGAAAGGGGAAAGGGGAAAGGGGAAAGGGGAAAGGGGAAAGGGGAAAGGGGAAAGGGGAAAGGGGAAAGGGGAAAGGGGAAAGGGGAAAGGGGAAAGGGGAAAGGGGAAAGGGGAAAGGGGAAAGGGGAAAGGGGAAATGGGAAAGGGGAAAGGGGAAAGGGGAAAGGGGAAAGGGGAAAGGGGAAAGGGGAAAGGGGAAAGGGGAAAGGGGACAGGGGAAAGGGGAAAGGGGAAACGGCAAAGAGGAAACGGGAAAGAGGAAAGGGAAAAGGGGAAAATGGAAAGGGGAAAGGGGAAAGGGGAAAGAAGAAATGGGATAGGGGAAAGGGGAAAGGGGAAAGGGGAAAGGGGAAAGGGGAAAGGGGAAAGTAGAAAGGGGAAAGGGGAAAGGGGAAAGGGGAAAGGGGAAAGGGGAAAGGGGAAAGGGGAAAGGGGAAAGGGGAAAGGGGAAAGGGGAAGGGGAAAGGGGATATGGGATATGGGATATGGGATATGGGATATGGGATATGGGATAGGGGAAAGGGAAAACGGGAAGGGGAAAGGGGAAAGGGGAAAGGGGAAAGGGGAAAGGGGAAAGGGGAAAGGGGAAAGGGGGAAAGGGGAAAGGGGAAAGGGGAAAGGGGAAAGGGGAAAGGGGAAAGGGGAAAGGGGAAAGGGGAAAGGGGAAAGGGGAAAGGGGAAAGGGGAAAGGGGAAAGGGGAAGGGGAAAGGGGAAAGGTGAAAGGTGAAAGGGGAAAGGGGAAAGGGGAAAGAAGAAAGGGGAAAGGGGAAAGGGGAAGGGGGAAGGGAAAAAGGAGAAAGGGGAAAGAAGAAAGGGGAAAGGGGAAAGGGGAAAGGGGAAAGGGGAAAGGGGAAAGGGGAAAGGGGAAAGGGGAAAGGGGAAAGGGGAAAGGGGAAAGGGGAAAGGGGAAAGGGGAAAGGGGAAAGGGGAAAGGGGAAAGGGGAAAGGGGAAAGGGGAAAGGGGAAAGGGGAAAGGGGAAAGGGGAAGGGGGAAAGGGGAAAAGGGAAAAGGGGAAAGGGGAAAGGGGAAAGGGGAAAGGGGAAAGGGGAAAGGGAAAAGGGAAAGGGGAAAGGGGAAAGGGGAAAGGGGAAAGGGGAAAGGGGAAAGGGGAAAGGGGAAAGGGTGAAAGGGGAAAGGGAAAAGGGGAAAGGGGACAGGGGAAAGGGAAAAGGGAAAAGGGGAAAGGGGAAAGGGGAAAGGGGAAAGGGGAAAGGGGAAAGGGGAAAGGGGAAAGGGAAAAGGGGAAAGGGGAAAGGGGAAAGGGGAAAGGGGAAATGGGAAAGGGGAAAGGGGAAAGGGGAAAGGGGAAAGGGGAAAGGGGACAGGGGAAAGGGGAAAGGGGAAACGGCAAAGAGGAAACGGGAAAGAGGAAAGGGAAAAGGGGAAAGGGGAAAATGGAAAGGGGAAAGGGGAAAGGGGATAGGGGAAAGGGGAAAGGGGGAAAGGGGAAAGGAGAAAGGGGAAAGGGGAAAGGGGAAAGGGGAAAGGGGAAAGGGGAAAGGGGAAAGGGGAAAGGGGAAAGGGGATATGGGATATGGGATAGGGGAAAGGGGAAAGGGGAAAGGGGAAAGGGGAAAGGGGAAAGGGGAAAGGGAAAACGGGAAGGGGAAAGGGAAAGGGGAAAGGGGAAAGGGGAAAGGGGAAAGGGGAAAGGGGAAAGGGGAAAGGGGAAAGGGGAAAGGGGAAAGGGGAAAGGGGAAAGGGGAAAGGGGAAAGGGGGAAGGGGAAAGGGGAAAGGGGAAAGGGGAAAGGGGAAAGGGGAAAGGGGAAAGGGGAAAGGGGAAAGGGGAAAGGGGAAAGGGGAAAGGGGAAAGGGGAAAGGGGAAAGGGGAAAGGGGAAAGGGGAAAGGGGAAAGGGGAAAGGGGAAGGGGAAAGGGGAAAGGTGAAAGGGGAAAGGGGAAAGAAGAAAGGGGAAAGAAGAAAGGGGAAAGGGGAAGGGGGAAGGGAAAAAGGGGAAAGGGGAAAGGGGAAAGGGGAAAGGGGAAATGGGAAAGGGGAAAGGGGAAAGGGGAAAGGGGAAAGGGGAAAGGGGAAGGGGGAAGGGGGAAAGGGGAAATGGTTAAAGGGGAAAGGGGAAAGGGGAAATGGGAAAGGGGAAAGGGGAAAGGGGAAAGGGGAAAGGGGAAAGGGGAAAGAGGAAAGGGGAAATGGGAAAGGGGAAAAAGGGGAAAGGGGAAAGGGGAAAGGGGAAAGGGGAAAGGGGAAAGGGGAAAGGGGAAAGGGGAAAGGGGAAAGGGGAAAGGGGAAAGGGGAAAGGGGAAAGGGGAAAGGGGAAAGGGGAAAGGGGAAAGGGGAAAGGGGAAAGGGGAAAGGGGAAAGGGGAAAGGGGAAAGGGGAAAGGGGAAAGGGGAAAGGGGAAAGAGATGGTGTTTAAATCGTCCCATATGTAGAAACTTAACAGTTTTTATCTTTTAGGTTTGTTACTTCAAGTATCACTTCTCCCTCAATTCTATTTCGAACTATGTAATCCGATACCACTCCTATTTTTCTTTTTCTCATCCATTAATTCATTTAGTAGTTCCTAGCGATTCATGTCCAAATTTTCCCCTCCATGCTATACGAAATAGAAGATACCCTTCTTAAAAATGACAAAAATAATTTAATTTCCTCACAAATAGTTTATGGGTGGATACAAAGCGAGCAGTAAACATAAGTGTAGAAGATCTAAACATAAGAGGTTTGGTTGCGAGGGGATGTCCACAAGGAGGGGTGCTGTCACCTCTACTGTGGAATATGGTTCTCGACACCCTCATCAGCCGCCTCAATAATGACAGTCACTACACAATAGCATATGCAGATGACCTGGTGATTCTGCAAACAGGGAATTTTGAGAACAAACTCTGCGAAAGAATGCAAGTAGCTCTAACAATTACCGAACAGTGGTGCAATCCTAAGAAGACAAAAATGGTCCTTTTCACAATAAAAAGGATAAAAATGGAATTACACCGCCAGAACTCCTAAACATAAAACTAAATTTGCAACAGAAGTACCTAGACCTCACCTTTGATAGCAAGTTAACATGGAACTCGCATTTAAAAAACAGAGTTGAAAGGGCATACATTACTTATGAATAATGCCGCAAAACCGTGGAGCGCACCTAGGGTTTCTCCCGCAGAGTCATCGCATGGACTTACACGGCTATCATAAGACCTATGCTAACATACGGTGTAGTTGTCTGAGTACCGAAAACCCAAAAATTAACAGCTATCTGTAAACTAGAACAAATTCAAAAAACAGCATGTCTCAACATAACAGGAGCCATGAAAACAACACCGACCAGAGCCATGGAAGTCATTCTTAGACTCACTCGCCTTGATATTTACATTATTTACATTAAGGAGGTTGCTCTTACGATAATGACACGCCTCCACATGGTTGGAATAGAACCTGATGTAGGATCTGGTGAGACGAGACGTCACTTTTGGCAAAACGCGCTCGATACGCTCTCACTGCTTCAAGCAAACATGGACTCCATCTCACCGAGATATATCTTCCACAAGCCATATAAAGTTATAATAGAACAAATAGAAGAGCCGGGAGTGGCAGGTATGATTTATGTCTACACCCAAAGTTCGAAAACAAAACAAGACTCTGGATGTGGAATATACTCCACATTCTGAAACCTCAACATAAAATAGCAAGTGCCAGTTTAGTTCAAACAGAGCTAACGGGGATTCTTATAGCAGCAAAAGAAATAACCAGAAACGATATCACTGGAAGGAACATGCTCATCTATAAAGATAGCAGACAAGCACTACTTACCCTGAACAGACCATGAATTTACTTAGGGTTAGTAGTAGAATGTCACGAAGCTTTGGCCGAAGTATCCATCAATAATTTGGCCACCTTAAGATGTATCAAAGATCACGCCACATCGAAAGGTAACCGTCTTGTTAATTCACTAGCCAAAAAAGCAGCCAACCAAATACTTTTTGGACCTGGCCTTTCTATTGGCCTGACAAAATCGGTAGTAACAGACCTAATCAAAAAACATTTCCTTGTTAAGTTCAAGGAAAGATGGAATGAAACAAAAAAATGTAGAGTTACCAGGGAGCTCTTAAGTTATCCTAATAACACTACAGCAACCAAATACTTGACTATGACTAAACAGAATCTGTGCCTAGTCACAGGCATTCTGACTGGTCATTGCCAAGTACAAAAGCATCTCCAAATCTTGGGGCTGTCAGAATCCGCACTCTGCAGAGGGTGCGAACAAGAGCATATCTTTTACGATTGCTCGACGTTCTCATTTATTAGAAGATTTGTGTTCGGCGAGTATCGGCTAATACCGGCCGATATAAGAGAAGCACCTCTTGGCGACGTTGTCAACTACATTAAATCTGTAGGATAGCTCACGAGTTAGGAGGTGCCTATCATCTCAGAAGGATGAACAATGGGCCTAATGAGGCCTAAGTGCCGTACGGGTAACCCACCCTCCACACGTTACAGATACAGAGATACTAGTATGCGATAAAGATAGATAAGGGTCCAAGGCAAATTTAGGGGGGGCGTTGAGAAACAAGTGTCGCCCACTGGAAAATACTTAAAAATACTCTAAATGTAGGCGGTAGGCTAAAAAAGTTTGGGAACCTATGAATTCAGTTGGCCCATAGTTGATTATATTTGCTAAACTTCCGCTTATAAATGTATCCCTTATTTTTTAGATTTTCCAAGTTATGGGAAAATTGGAAGTTTTCACTATCAAATACAAATAAGAAAAATCTTGAACGCTACTGGCTAAAGCCAGACTTACATGAATGAAATTCAGTAGAAAACCACATAACAACCAAAAAGCATTCACATTTTGGTCGAGCCGGCTGAACCTACGTATTTTAACAATCAAAATTATTTCAAGTTTAAAACCAAATATTTTGTTTTACCCTGCCAAATTACACCCCAATTCTTTCTTTCTTTTTGCGTACCCTTGACCTTGGAACAAATCAATTCCAATCACCCTTACAGTTTTAAGATATCTTCACTCCATTACTCCCTATTAGCTATCGAGTTTATTCAAGTACAACAAATCGACCCTCTAGGAAAGTCTGGTGGCGAGTATTACAAAGAATGCCAAACATGTGAAAAAAAGATAAAGGGACGTAATGACCTTTCTTTGCGTGACATGAACGTCCCTTTCGCCCAAAAACCACCCTCGCGTAGTGGATTAATATTTATGTAGGTGGACTGAAAATTCCATATTCTAAAATAGTGTTTTTATTGAAAACAATACATAAATATTTCATTAATGTTTAAAATTGTTGATTAAGTCGGTTTGGGAAATCTTTCATATTGAAATTACTAATTTTAAGCTATCTAGTAATATTGTGTTAAAAATTATAATGTGGCTAACCTGTTTTGGATATGTCTACTTGGCCGGTGCCACGTTTAGTATTCATAAAAAGATGCAAAATGGAATTATTGACAATGTAGTTCAGCATATATACTAATATATTACTAAATATTTATTTTTCTGAAAAAAATACACAATACATATCGTTTATATTGTATGGATTATATCCGTTTAATTAATTTAAAAGCTGGAGGCAAGTACTTTTTATTTCACTTTTTCACTGTATCAATATTAATATATAATATTCACAAGTTTTATTCATGCTCTTTAATGATTGAACAAGTACATATTTATAGAGGCTTCCGAGGAGCTTTTTCTGGTTCTCCTTTACTTAATGTTCGACCTATTTGACACTCGTATTGTTACCAGTTGACACTTGTTACTTGTCGAGGTAACAGGTGAAGCTACAAGTGAAATCATTAAAAATTAAATTTAAATAATTCCAATTTAAACAAATATTTTTTTTAATTGTACATGAATATTTAATACAAGAATATGCCTCTATTCTAATTTATGGAAAGCTATTGACACATATTGAGCAGATTACGTTAACTCCTGTAAATACTTTAAACAAGTAAAAAATAAATCCAGACTGTCAACTTCGATGAGCTAGGATAAAAGTAAAGCATTGTTCTTCAACTTTGTTACATCAAAGAATGAGTTTTAGGTAAAAGAGTCAATCTGAAATAAAAAAAGATAGTTTAGACGCAATTATATGTATATTTGTTATTCTTATGAGGACAAACAGAATGGACCAATTGAAGTAATGGGGTATAAACTGTAACAATCTTGTGAATCAGAAGAATAGATAGTGATTCGAAAAGCTGTAGCTTTAAAATTATAGCAGCGACTCCAAAACTAAAATCAACCACTAAATATATTCATGCTTAACATTCCAACACGCAGAAAGTGTTGAAAAAATACATGGAATCGAAGAAATTATGGTAAAGACAGTACCTATCAAAAACTACAAGCTAGTACATCAATGAAAAAGTGTTAAGCATACACACACTCAAAGCTACTGCGCTAAAGAGCTTCGATGTGTAAGATGCTCAAGGAAAGATTTAATTAATTGTAAAAAATCGAAACATGCCCCATCCTGCCAGTTACAGGTAATGTGAAAATTGGAAAAATAAAAATTAATAACAACAAAAAACAAACCTTACCTAAACAACCACAGCGTGCAATTTAACATATGCCTGTTAATGAAATAATCTACTAAATCATTCAGCCAGACGATAACTGGTATAGAGGAAGATAAAATATATAACAATTAGAATACATCTATTATCAATACTCTTTAGCAAATACTGGAAAAGCTGAACATAAAGAATACATGAATTATTAGGTAGAGATATAATTTTAAACATTAAATAATAAAGAAGTCTGATTATTTATCTTTCTTTTTGTTGCGCAGGTGTTTGATAAAGTATGGTGTGCTACTTCTAGAGCCATATTTAGAGCTATTGTATTCATACATTAAAGACAGTTTCTTTAGAGTAAAACAAGACAACTTTTACTCTAAATTGAAATAAAACAAAGAAGTCTGTTCAGCCATCTTCCTCGATGTTGCGCAGGCTTTTGATAAAGTATGACATGATGGCTTAAAACATAAACTGAATGTGCTACTTCCACAGCCATACTCATAGCTATTGGATTCATACATTTTAGCTAGATTCTTTAGTGTAAATCAAGATGAAGCATACTCTAAATTGAAAGAAATTAAAACAGGAGTACCACAGGGAAGCGGCCTGAGACCTACTTTCTACATGTTAAACATTTGTGACATATCCCTACTTCAGCAAGATACAATAGCTACATTTGCAGATGATACTGTCATCCTAGCGATTAGTAATGATCATAAAGAGGCTGCATATAAACTGCAAACATTAGTTAATCAAATGAATAACTGGATCAAATCAGGTAAAATTAATTTTACCTACAAAAATGGTCAACAAATACCATTAACATAAATAATGTCTAGATCCGTTATGCTAACTCAGCAAAATATCTAGGTATTACATTTA